CGCCCTCCGTCTCAAAGAAAGAAAGAGAAAGAAGGGGCCGGGCGCGGTGGCTCAAGCCTGTAATCCCAGCACTTTGGGAGGCCGAGGCGGGTGGATCACGAGGTCGAGAGATCGAGACCATCCCGGTCAACATGGTGAAACCCCGTCTCTACTAAAAATGCAAAAAAAAAAAAAAAAAAAAAAAAACTAGCTGGGCATGGTGGCGCGTGCCTGTAATCCCAGCTACTTAAGAGGCTGAGGCAGGAGAATTGCCTGAGCCCAGGAGGCGGAGGTTGCAGTGAGCCGAGATCGCGCCATTGCACTCCAGCCTGGGTAACAAGAGCGAAACTCCGTCTCACAAAAAAAAAAAAAAAAGAAAAAAAAGAAAGAGAAAGAAGAAAGAAAGAAAGAAAGAGATGGGTTTATTCAAATCAGATCCCAAAGTCAAGAGGTTCTACCAAAAAGAGGGAGGCTTGGCCTGAGAGAAGCCTTAGCTCAGAAAAGGCTAGGCATGGAAGCAGAGAGTAAAACGGGCTCAAGCGACTACTGCACTCCGATTCCAAGAATTGCCAGCATCTTCCAATAGTGATCTTTTTCAGGTCCCATTTCTGACACTGTATATGTCAATTTAAATAACACAGAGAGAGGCTCTCTGAAAGAAAACGATATTTACTTGGGACTAGAGCATTGCAATGAGAATATACATGCCACATAAAGTATGTATGTATTCACAGAAGCAAAGAAGACAAAGGGTTAAAAAAAATGAAGAGGATTGCATAACTGTTTTACAATAATTATTCTTGGCTACAGAGATCAATAACAAGGGTGATATCAGTCTGAAATTAAACAAAGAGTTACTGGGCAGATGTCCTTGCAGTATTTTTTGGTGTAAGTTTGCAATGGCCTTTGTGTGAGGTTGGTTTTTGCTGAGCCTTTTGTGATAGTTCTGTTATCAGGCATATAAACATGAGAATCCACTCTTCACAGCCTTCCCTGGCTCTATTTGTAAGGGATTTATTTATTTGTTTGTTTGTTTGTTTGTTTTAGAGACGGGGTTTCCCTATGTTGCCCAGGCTGGAGTGCAGTGGCTGTTCACAGGCTCAGTCTCACTACTGATCAGCACGGGGGTTTTGACCTGTTCCGTTTCTGACCTGGGCCAGACCTGGGGCAGTTCTCCCCTCCTTAGGCAACCTGGTGGTCCTCTGGTCCCGGGAGGTCACCATATTGATGCCAAACTTAGTGCCGACACCCAATCGGCATAACGCACTACAGCTCAGAACTCCTGGGCTCAAGCGACCCTCCCACCTCAGCCTCCAGAGTAGCTGGGACTACAGGCACGCGCCACTGCACCTGGCCAGGGATTTATTTATTTATTTATTTGAGATGGAGTTTTGCTCTTGTTACCCAGGCTGGAGTGCAATGGTGCGATCTCGGCTCACCACAACCTCCGCCTCCTGGGTTCAGGCAATTCTCCTGCCTCAGCCTCCTGAGTAGCTGGGATTACAGGCACGTGCCACCATGCCCAGCTGATTTTTTGTATTTTTAGTAGAGACGGTGTTTCACCATGTTGACCAGGATGGTCTCGATCTCTTTTTTTTTTTTTTTTTTTTTTGAGACGGAGTTTCGCTCTTGTTACCCAGGCTGGAGTGCAATGGCGTGATCTCGGCTCACTGCAACCTCCACCTCCTGGGTTCAGGCAATTCTCCTGTCTCAGCCTCCTGAGTAGCTGGGATTACAGGCATGCTCCGCCATGCCCAGCTAACTTTTTGTATTTTTAGTAGAGACGGGGTTTCACCAGGTTGACCAGGATGGTCTCGATCTCTTGACCTCGTGATCCACCCGCCTCGGCCTCCCAAAGTGCTGGGATTATAGGCGTGAGCCACCGCATCCCGCCCATTCCTTCATTTCTATCCTTCTCCTTGGATTTCCCTGTTCCTGAGACACAACAATATTGAAATTAGTCCAATTAAGAATACTACAATGGCTTCTAAGTGTTCAAGAGAAAGGAAGCATCACACGTCCTCCACTTTAAATCTGTGTTAGTCAGTTGTCACATTGCTATCAAGGAATACCTGAGACTGGGTAATTTATAACGAAAAGAGGTTACATGGGCTAATGGTTACGCAGGCTGTAGAAGCATGGCGTCACCATTGCTTGGCTTTTGGGAAGGCCTCAGGAAGCTTTTACTCATGGTGGAAGGCAAAGTGGGAGCAGCCATATCACATGGTGAAAGCAGCAACAAGAGAAAGGTGAGGTGAGGGGAGATGCCACACGCTTAAAGGACCACATCTTATGTGAGCTCAGAGTGAATGTTCACTTATCATTAATGGGATGCCCCAAGCCATTCATGAGGGACCGGCCCCAACGATCCAAACACCTCCCACAAGGCCCCACCTCCAAGACTGGGGATTACATTTCAACATGAGATTTGGACAGGGACATATAATCAAACTATATCAAAATTGAAAGCTATAAATAGTTAAGCTTAGTAAAGAAATGTTGAAAGCCAAGATAGGCTAAAAAAAAAAAAAAAAAAAAAAGCCTCTGCATCAAACAGCCAGGTTTTGAATGCAAAGGAAAAGTTCTTGAAGGAAATTAAAAGTGCTTCTCTCGGGAATACATGAATTATATTAGTAAGTGAAACAGTCATATCTCTGACATGGGGAAAGTTTTAGTGATCCACATAGAAGATCAAACCAGCCACAAAATTTTCTTAAGCCAAAGCCTAATCCAAAGCGAGGCCCTAACACCCGGCAAGTCTATGAAAGCTGAGAGGTGAGGAAGCTGCGGAAGAAAAGTCTGAAGCTAGCAGAGGTTGACTCATGAAATATAAGAAGCGAAGTTGAGGCTGGGTGTGGTGGCTCATGCCTGTAATCCCAGCACTTTGGGAGGTCAAGGTGGGCAGATCATGAGGTTAGGAGATCAAGACCATCCTGGCCAACATGATGAAACCCTGTCTCTACTAAAATACAAAAAATTAGCCTGGAATGGTAGCACATGCCTGTAATCCCAGCTACTTGGGAGGCTGAGGCAGGGGAATTGCTTCAACCCGGGAGGCAGAGTGAGCTGAGATCGCACCACTGCCCTCCAGCCTGGTGACAGACTGAGATTGCATCTCAAAAAAAAAAAAAAAAAGAAGGTGAGTCTATAAAATGTAGAATTGGAGAGCAGGCATCTCTGTCTTGTTCCTGATCTTAGGAGAAAATCATCCAGTCTTTCTTCACCATTAGTTATGATATTAGCTGTGGGTTTTTTTGTTTTGTTTTGTTTTTTTGTTTTGTTTTGTTTTTTTTTTAGAGACGGAGTTTCGCTCTTGTTACCCAGGCTGGAGTGCAATGGCACGATCTCGGCTCACCGCAACCTCCACCTCCTGGGTTCAGGCAATTCTCCTGCCTCAGCCTCCTGAGTAGCTGGGATTACAGGCACACACCACCATGCCCAGCTAATTTTTTGTATTTTTAGTAGAGACGGGGTTTCACCTTGTTGACCAGGATGGTCTCGATCTCTCGACCTTGTGATCCACCCGCCTCAGCCTCCCAAAGTGCTGGGATTACAGGCTTGAGCCACCGCGCCCGGCCCTTGTTTTGTTTGTTTTTTAATTTTTTGCTGTGGGTTTTTCATGGATGAGCTTTATCAGGTTGAAGAAGTTTCCTTTGGTTTCTAGTTTTTATCATGAAAGAATGTAAAATTTTAGATTTTGTTACATGGTTTTTCAGTGCCTACTGAGAGCATCATGTGGCTTTTGTGTGTTTTATTTACTTTTTGTCTTGCTCTGTCACCCCAGCTGGAGTGCAATGGTGTGATCTTGTCTCACTGCAACCTCCACCTCCCAGGTTCAAGTGATTCTCCTGCCTCAGCCTTCCTAGCAGCTGGGATTATAGGTGCCTGCCACCACACCTGGCTAACTTTTGTATTTTTAGTAGAAACAGGGTTTCACCATGTTGGTCAGGCTGTTCTCCAACTCCTGACCTCAAGTGATATACCTGCCTCAGCCTCCCAAAGTGCTAGGATTACGGACATGAGCCACCATGCCTGGCCCTGCTTTCAATTCTTTTGAGTATATTCTGAGAAGTGGAATTGCTGAATCATATGGTAATTCTATGTTCAATTTTTTAAGGAACTGCCAGACTGTCTTACACAGTGGGCATATTACTTTACGTATGGCAGTTGTTATGTAGCCAAATTATGTAAATAAATTATTTACTGTAGGAAATTGACACTTGGATACTCTAAACCAATATAGAAAGTACATCTCTCTCAGTAAAATTGTATGATGTATCAAACCATTGCCTGCCAAACACTTCTAATTACCACAGTGATTAATTACCAGTATCCAGAACCTTGGGTACTTGTGTGTTGGAGAGGTGGGTCAGAAAAGAGGAGGTTAGGCAAAATCTACAAGTAGCAAAAATACTACCTTCTGCCAGGCGCGGTGGCTTGCACCTGTAATTCTAGCACTTCAGGCAGTCTAGGCGGGTGGATCACTTGAGCTCAGGAGTTTGAGACCAGCCTTGGCAACATGACAAAACCTCATCTCTACAAAAAATACAAAAATTAGCCAGGCATGGTGGGGTGTGCATCTATAGTCGCAGCTGCTTGGGATGCAGAGATTGTAGCGAGCCACTGGGTGACAGAGTGAGACTCTGTTTCAATAAATAAATAAATAAATAAATTCAATATCCTGCAACTCTATTTCTATTTGGTTTATATGACATTGAAGATCAAAGGGGATGAATAATAAAGATGTAGTGAGGAGGACAGAAAGGTAGAGGAATGTGGTGATGTTAGACAGTGGGACTGGACTAGTCTGCTGATTCTTATGTACTTAGTATGAAATCAGTGTCAGCAAGACAGTTTTCCTTCCCACTCCAAGTCCTCTCATACTATGTTTCCTTGCTAAAGCTTGTAGAATCTATAAATTATATAACTGTCTAAAGACCTTTAAACTAATTGAACTTGCAGGTGAAATACAAATTTACAATGAACTTAAACATTTATCAGAGTCAGTAAGAGAGAGAGCAGAGATTGAAACGCTTTATTATTTTATTCTTCTTTCATCAGACTAGTCGTCTCCTGAAGCCATGGGAAATCACAGTGCTTTGGTATCTGGAGAGAGGTGAATGCAAAGGCATATCTGCAATTTTTATTTCTGGTGGGCCTTTTTTCAAGACGACTTTACGATCTTCCCCATGGCAAAGCCTTTCACTGTGGTTCAAAAACAGAGAGTCTTCAAAAGGGCCAGTATAGATCCCACACACCTCTGCTCGCTAAGAGAAAAGAAAAATCTGCTGTGTATCACATCAAACATCATTTTCTTGTTAGATTAAGGAGGAAATTTCACCAAGAGCCGTGGCTCAGGCCTGTAATCCCAGCACTTTGGGAGGCCAAGACAGGAAGATTGCCTTAGCGCAGGAGTTTGAGACCAGCCTGGGCAACATAGAAAGACCCCATCTATACAAAAAGTTAAAAAATTAGCTGGGTGTGGTGGCACGTGTCTGTGAGGCTGAGGCAAAAGAATCCCTTGAGCCTGGGAAATCAAGGCTGCAGTGAGCTATGATCACATCACTGCACTTCAGCCTGGGCAACAGAGTGAGACCCTGTCCCCTCTCCAAAAAGAGGGCTAGTTTTTCTAACTAACCCTCTTGAGAAGGAATCGCTGCTGAACAGGGGAGCATCCCCCCTTTTTTTTTTGAGATGGAGTTTCGCTCTTGTTACCGAGGCTGGAGTACAATGGCGTGATCTCAGCTCACCGCAACCTCCTCCTCCTGGGTTCAGGCAATTCTCCTGCGTCAGCCTCCTGAGTAGCTAGGATTACAGGCACGCGCCACCATGCCCAGCTAATTTTTGTGTTTTTAGTAGAGACGGGGTTTCACCATGTTGACCAGGATGGTCTTAATCTTTTGACCTCGTGATCCACCCGCCTCGGCCTCCCAAAGTGCTGGGATTATAGGCGTGAGCCACTGTGCTCGGCCCAGAACATCCCTTTTCTAAAAGCAATGCTTTGTGGGTCAGTGTGATCTGACTATCAGAAAGAGCCATACAGAGTATAAAGATGACGTATTTGGAGGCATATTGTTGAACTTTAGCTTCACTACTTAATGTGACCTTTTCAAGTCATTTACTCCCGAAGACTCAGTTTTTTCTTTTTCTTTCTTTCTTTCTTTTTTTTTTTAGATGGAGTTTCTCTTTTGTTGCCCAGGCAGGAGTACAATGGCATGATCTCAGCTCATCCCAACCTCTGCCTCCCAGGTTCAAGTGATTCTCCTGCCTCAGCCTCTAGAGTAGGTGGGATTACAGGCATGTGCCACCATGCCCAGATAATTTTTTTTTTTTTTTTTTTGGTATTTTTAGTAGAGATGGGGTTTCTCCATGTTTGTCAGGCTGATCTCGAACTCTTGACCTCAGGTTACTGCCTGCCTCGAGCCTCCCAAAGTGCTGGGATTACAGGCATGAGCCACTGCGCCCGGCCAAATTTTTCAAATATAAAATAGGAATATTAAAGGATTCTTTGAGTAGCAAATAAAATATATGTGAATGAAAAAACTTGGCCTTTATATATATACACACACACATACATATACATATGTGTGTGTGTGTATATATACATATTTTTTTCACAGATAGGGCCTCACTCTGTCACCCAGGCTGGAGTGCAGTGGTACAATCGTAGCTCACTGCAGCACGGAAATCCTAGGCTCAGGCAATCCTCCAGCCTCAGCCTTCCAAGTAGCTGAGACTACAGCACACACCACATTGCCTGGCTTTTTTTTTTTTTAATGGACAGGATCTCTCTACGTTGCTCTGGCTGGTCTCCAACTCCTGGCCTCAAACCATCCCCCTGTCTCAGCCTCCCAAAGCACGAGGATTAGAGGCATAAGCCACAGCATACAGCCTCTGTGCTGTATTTTTTAATGTTGTTAGATGAAGTTTTTATTACCTCCTAATGGAAAAATAAAAGGTGAGGATAAATAAAAGGAAGGAAAGCATAAGTTAGCATTTACAGCATTTACTCAGTGTGGGCACTCACTTAACTTACTTATTTAATTTTCATTGTAGAAACACTGTCGACTAAATTGCAAAAGTAAAGTAGCTCTGAAAAATTATGCTGAATTATAGTTCTAAATGTACGGTCAAGAATAAGTGTTTTGATGTAATGAAAACAAAGCTTTTCCTTCCTGATTTCAGCTTATAAATTTTATAACCTATAGTTGTAAACTAAAGTGAAAAAGTCAATACTGTCACCATGCTGAAGCTACTTAGGGCACTGAAAATGACTTGATATGCCACTAAATTATATGAAATACAGACTAATATTAAGACTGTAATAAGTCTTAGTAAACAGATTTATTTATTTATTTATTTATTTATTTATTTATTTAAGACGGAGTTTTGCTCTTGTTACCCAGGCTGGAGTGCAATGGTGCGATCTTGGCTCACCGCAATCTCTGCCTCCTGGGTGCAGGCAATTCTCCTGCCTCAGCCTCCTGAGTAGCTGGGATTACAGGCACGTGCCACCATGCCCAGCTAATTTTTTGTATTTTTAGTAGAGACGGGGTTTCACCATGTTGACCAGGATGGTCTCGATCTCCTGACCTCGTGATCCACCCGTCTCGGCCTCCCAAAGTGCTGGGATTACAGGCGTGAGCCACCACGTCCAGCCCTATTTATTTATTTTTTTTTGAGACGGGATTTTGCTCTTGTTGCCCAGGCTGGAGTGCAATGGCATGATCTCAGTTCACTGCAACCTCCACCTCCCAGGTTCATGCGATTCTCCTGCCTCAGCCTTCCGAGTAGCTGGGATTACAGGCATGGACCATCACGCTAATTTTTGTAATTTTAGTAGAGATGGGGTTTCTCCATGTTGGTGAGGCTGGTCTTGAACTCTTGACCTCAGGTTATCCACCCAAGTCGGCCTCCCAAAGTGCTGGGATTATATGCATGATCTACTGCACCAGGCCCATTTTTATTTTTATTTTTGGGGCGGAGTCTCGCTCTGTTGCCCAAGATGGAGTGCAGTGGTGTGATCTGGCTCACTGCAACCTCTGCCTCTCAGATTCAAGAGATTCTCCTGCATCAGCCTCCTGAGTAGCTAGGACTATAGGCACCCACCACCATGCCTGACTAATTTTTGTGTTTTATTTTTATTGATTATTATTATTTTTTTATTATTTAATTTAATTTATTTATTTATTTATTTATTTATTTATTTATTTATTTATTTTGAGACGCAGTTTCGCTCTTGTTACCCAGGCTGGAGTGCAATGGCGCCATCTCGGCTCACCGCAACCTCCGCCTCCTGGGTTCAGGCAATTCTCCTGCCTCAGCCTCCTGAGTAGCTGGGATTACAGGCATGCGCCACCATGCTCAGCTAATTTTTTGTATTTTTAGTAGAGACGGGGTTTCACCATGTTGACCAGGATGGTCTCGATCTCTCAACCTCGTGATCCACCCGCCTCGGCCTCCCAAAGTGCTGAGATTATAGGTTTGAGCCACCGCGCCCGGCCTATTTTTATTTTTTTTTAGACAGAGTTTTGCTCTTGTTACCCAGGCTGGAGTGCAATGGCGCGATCTCGGCTCACCACAACCTCCGCCTCCTGGGTTCAGGCAATTCTCCTGCCTCAGCCTCCTGAGTAGCTGGGATTACAGGCACGCGCCACTGTGCCCAGCTAACTTTTTTTTTGTATTTTTAGTAGGGACGGGGTTTCACCATGTTGACCAAGATGGTCTCGATCTCTTGACCTCGTGATCCACCCGCCTCGGCCTCCCAAAGTGCTGGGATTACAGGCTTGAGCCACCGCGCCCGGCCTGTTATTATTATTATTATTATTTAAAGATGGGGTTTTGCCATGTTGCCCAGGCCTATCTCGAATTCCTGAGCTCAGCCAATCCACTCACCTTGGCCTCCCAAAGTGCTAGGATTACAGGCGTAAGCCACTTTGTCTGGCCAATTTTTGTATTTTTAGTAGAGACAGGGTTTCACCATGTTGGTCAGGCTGGTCTTGAACTCCCACCTCGGACTCCCAAAGTGCTGGGATTACAGGTGTGAGCCCTGCGCCTGGCCTAGTAAACATACTCAAATTTTTTGTGTAAGTCTAATACTTGAGTTATGATTTTCTAAGTTTTATTTTTGTTTTCAAAATATCTGATTGCCGGGTGCGGTGGCTCAAGCCTGTAATCCCAGCACTTTGGGAGGCTGAGGCGAGTGGATCACGAGGTCAAGAGATCGAGACCATCCTGGTCAACATGGTGAAACCCCATCTCTACTAAAGGTGCAAAAAATTAGCTGGGCATGGTGGCGCGTGCCTGTAATCCCAGCTACTCCAGAGGCTGAGGCAGGAGAATTGCCTGAACCCAGGGTGCGGAGGTTGCGGTGAGCCGAGATCGCGCCATTGCACTCCAGCCTGGGTAACAAGAGCGAAACTCCGTCTCAAAAAAAAAAAAAAATCTGATAAAAATGCACAGTCAGCCCATGGCAAATGCAGCTTCATTTTCATTACATTATACATATGCATTTTATCAGAAAATAATTGAGCCATATTTTTGTAATATATTTTATATACCATATATTTATTTAACTTTTTTTTTTTTTTTTTTTTTGAGACATAGTCTTGCTCTGTTGCCCAGGCTGGAGTGCAATCTCAAGCTAACTGCAACCTCTGTCTGCCTCCTGGGTTCAAGAGATTCTCCTGTCTCAGTCTCCCGAGTTGCTAGGACTGCAGGCATGTGCCACCGTGCCTGGCTAATTTATGTATTTTTATTAGAGATGGGGTTTTGCCATGTTAGTGAGGGTGGTCTCAAACTCCTGACATCAGTTGATCCTCCCACCTTGGCCTCTCAAAATGCTGGGATTACAGGTGCGTGCCATCACACCTAGCCATATATTATGTATTTATATTTTGTGATATCATCTCTGTCTTGGCAGAATAAATAAATAAATAAATATATATATATATTTATTTATTGAGACAGAGTTTGGCTTTTGTTGCCCAGCCTGGAGTGCAATAGTGCGATATTGGCTCACTGGTACCTCTGCCTCTGGGTTCAAGCAATTCTCCTGCCTCAGCCTCCCAAGTAACTGGGATTACAGGCAGGTGCCACCACGCCTGGCTGATTTTTTTTTTTTTTAAATTTTTAGTAGAAATGGGGTTTCTCCATATTGTCCAGGCTAGTCTCAAACTCCCAACCTCAGGTGATCCCCCTGCCTTGGCCTCCCAAAGTGCAGGGATTACAGGTGTGAGCCATCACGTCCAGCTGGCAGAATATATTCTTATTCAACATTAACTGCTTATCCATTTGAAGTCTGCAAATGAGTTATACAAACACATTTTTTCCCTAGATATCTTAACTTGAAATCTCCTCTAGTAGTCTTACTTTTTATCTTATTCTTATTTTAATTTTTTAAATTAATTAACTTTTTGGAGACAGGGTCTTGCTCTGTCACCCAGGCTGGAGTGCAGTGCTGTTATCATGGCTCATTGCAGCCTCAGCCTTCTGAGCTCAAGTGATTTTCCTCCTCAGCCTCCTGAGTAGCTGGGACTACAGGTGCATGCTACCACACCTGGTTAAATTTATTTTATTCATTTTTTATGGAGACAGGATCTCATTATGTTGCCCAGGCTGTATCCTATTCCTTAAAGAAACAACTTACCTTTTTACAAGTAAATGGTCAATCTGTATTTACATTTTTTTTTTCTTTTCTCTAGATTTTGGGCCCTTTTATTTTTTATTTTATTTATTTATTTTTTTTGAGACAGAGTCTCACTCTGTCACCTAGGCTGGAGTGCAGTGGCGTGATCTTGGCTCACTGCAACCTCCACCTCCTGGGTTCAAGAGATTCTTCTGCCTCAGCCTCCTGAGTAGCTGGGACTACATGTGTGCACCACCATGCCCGGCTAATTTTTTGTATTTTTAGTAGAGATGGGGTTTCACTATATTGGCCAGGCTGGTCTCAAACTCCTGATCTCATGATCCGCCTGCCTTGGCCTCCCAAAGTGCTGATATTACAGGCATGGGTCACTTTGCCTAGCCAGATTTTGGGCTTTTATAGAAAGCAAACAGTCAATCTGAATTTAGATTTTTTTTTTTTTTTTTTTTTTTCTGAGACAGAGTCTTGCTCTGTCATCTAGGCTGGAGTGCAGTGGCAGGATCTCAGCTCACTGCAACTTCCCCTCCAGGGTTCAAGTGATTCTCCTTCCTCAGCCTCCCAAGTAGCTGGGATTACAGGTATGTGCCACCATGCCTGGCTAATTTTTGTATTTTTACTAGAGATGGGGTTTCACCATGTTGGCCAGGCTCATCTCAAATTCCTGACCTCAGATGATCCACCCACCTCGGCCTTCCAAAGTGCTAGGATTATAGGCATGAGCCACTATGCCCAGCCCAGAAAATGTTTTAAAACAAGCCTATTGGAATCCCTGCTTTCTTTTTTTTTTTTTTTTTTGTTTTGTTTTGTTTTTTTTTGAGACGGAGTTTCGCTCTTGTTACCCAGGCTGGAGTGCAATGGCGTGATCTCGGCTCACCGCAACCTCCGCCTCCTGGGTTCAAGCAATTCTCCTGCCTCAGCCTCCTGAGTAGCTGGGATTACAGGCACACGCCACCATGCCCAGCTAATTTTTTGTATTTTTAGTAGAGACGGGGTTTCACCATGTTGACCGGGATGGTCTCGATCTCTCGACCTCATGATCCACCCGCCTCGGCCTCCCAAAGTGCTGGGATTACAGGCTTGAGCCACCGCGCCCGGCCGGAATCCCTGCTTTCAATTATTTTGAGCATATAGCTAGAAATGGAATTGCTGAATCATATGATAATTCTATGTTTAAGTTTTTGAAGAATGGTCTCACTGTCTTCTACAGTGGCTGCACCATTTTACATATAGTAGTTTTCATGCTGTTTTAAAACTACTGACAGGAGCCAGGTGCAGTGATTCATGCCTGTAATCCTAAGACTTTGGGAGGCTGAGGCAGGAGGATTGCTTTAGCCCAGGAGACCAGCCTAGACTACATAGAGAGATCTCATCTCTACAAAAAAAAAAAAAAAAAAAAAAACTACCTCAGCATGGTAGCAGTGCCTGTAGTTCCAGCTGCTCAGGAGGCTGAGGTGGGAGGATCACCTGAGCCCAAGAGGTTGCTGCAGCTGCAGCGAGCCATGATTGCATCATTGCACTCCTGTCTGGGTGACAGAGTGAGATCCTATCTCCAAATAAATAAATAAATATATAAATAAAATAAGTAGGTCTGGTGTGTTGGCTAACTCCTGTAATTCTAGAACTTTGGAAGGCTGAGGCAGTAGGATCACTTGAGCTCAGAAGTTCAAGACCAACCTGGAAAACAGTGAGACCTCATCTCTATTAAAAATAAAAAAACTAGGCCGGGCGCGGTGGCTCAAGCCTTTAATCCCAGCACTTTGGGAGGCCGAGGCGTGTGGATCACGAGGTCAAGAGATCGAGATCATCCTGGTCAACATGGTGAAACCCCTTCTCTACTAAAAATACAAAAAATTTGTAGAATTCTCCTGCTGAGGCAGGAGAATTGCCTGAACCCAGGGGGTGGAGGTTGCGGTGAGCCGAGATCGTGCCATTGCACTCCAGCCTGGGTAACAAGAGCAAAACTCCGTCTCAAAAAAAAATAAAAATAAAAATAAAAATAAAAAAACTAGCAAGGTGTGGTGATGTGCATCTGCAATTTCAGCTACTTGGGAGACTGAGGCAGGAGGATCACTTGAACTCAGCAGATTGAGGCTGCAGTGAGCTGTTATCACACTACTGCACTCCAGCCTGGAAGACAGAGCAAGACCCCGTCTCCAAAAAGAAAAAAAGGAATAAATAAATAAACGAAACCACTGACTGAACAGGAGCACTGAACGGGCAAGTCATGTATAAAACTAGCCAAACTATTTTCATTCCTCTCTATCTGAATATGTAGTACATATTGTATAGGGGCTTCACCATCTCTTCTATTTCATATAAAAAATGCTTTGTAGTATACCTTTAATATTAATGGCATCTTCTGATGATAATTTAACAACTGCAAGACAGCATGATGTGGAGTTTCTGAAATTCTTTGGTATATAATTAGGTAAAACAGATATTACTATTTAACATTTGTTTGCAAGTTTATGTGACAGTACATCAAAATGGTTTTTGTATAGTTATGTATGCCTATCATAGATATACTAAATTATATATATATTTTTGAGACAGAGTCTATCTCTGTTGCCCAAGCTAGAGTGCAATGGTGCAATCTTGGTTCACTGCAACCTCTGCCTCCGGGGTTCAAGCGATTCTCATGCCTCACCCTCCTGAGTAGCTGGGATTACAGGCGCCTGCCACCATGCCCAGCTAATTTTCATATTTTAGTAGAGATGGGGTTTTACCATGTGGGCTAGGCTGCTCTGAAACTTCTGACCTCAAGTGATCCACCTGCCTTGGTCTCCCAAAGTGCTAGGATTATAGGCATGAGCCACCACATACAGCCTAATTTTTTTTTTCTTATGTATACTTATGGGAAAATACCTTCAGATTCACATTCCTGAATATCATGTTTTCTTTCCAAGGCATAACATAACGTGTTGGGATCATTCCTTGCTTTAATGAAAATCGTGGCAAATGAATCTCTTCATACCTGACAATTAGGAAAGCAAGAAGAAAAGTTATCTTGTGAGCCAAATACAATCATTGTAGCATCACTGCAGGGACTGGAGGCAGTTGTGAATTCATGTGTGGTCCCCTGCAGCTGCAGGACAGATGGCTGTGCCATTGAAACTCAACTAAAAGAGAATCAACCACTGAAATCCCTACGTACCACCAAGATCAAGTCAGGGCCACGAATCTATACCTCTAACTGCATGCTCTCCTTTATAATTTGCACACAATGTCTGTTTTAGTCTGACTTTTTTTTTTTTTTTTTTTTTTTTTTAAATGACATGGAGTGCACTGCCATGCCCAGCCAGGGTTTTGCCATGCTGGTCAGGCTGTTCTTGAATTCCTGACCTCAAGTGATCCCTGGCACACAGCCCATTTTAACCTGACTTTACGGGAGAAGGCAAGGCACTTAGATTTCCCTCAGGCCTACCCACTGCCTAAAGGAAATATCTGGCCAGCCACAGAAAACAGTAACTCTATTGGCTTCTGAATTTACGTTTGCTCTACACTCAGGTCAGACTCGCTTTCCCTGCACACATATTTCCCTCTGGAACATAATGCTTTCTACATAGATGCCAAAGGGGAACACAAAATTATTATGCTTATCTATGTAGCTCCCAGGTTGCGAAACGAGCCAACAAAATAACCCCAGACCCCGTAAGTCCTCACTTATTAGCAGGTTTGTAGGGACTCTCATCAGAGCAGTTGTTGGTGATTTTAGGCAAAGTAGGGCAAGTATCTTTCCCTGAAGCCATTTCTGACAGCAGTGGGTGGAATTCTCATTTAAAACTTCACTAACTCACTAGTCTAATTATGATGACAATGCTGCTCTGATGTAACAATGCTTTGCTAACTTCATAGTAACTCTCAGCAGTAGCTGTTAAGAGTGTACAGCTCACAGATATGGTGGTGGGCACCTCTAATCCCAGCTACTTGGGAGGCTGAGGCAGAAGAATCCCTTGCATCCGAGGCAGAGGTTGCAGTGAGCCGAGATTGCGCTTCTGCATTCCAGCCTGGCAACAGTGAGACTGTCTCGAAGAAAAAAAAAGTGTCCAGCTAAAGGCTATTTTCAGGGCTTTAAAAAAATCCCCCTTCTGGCCTGGCACAATGGCTCATGCCTGTAACCCTAGCACCTTGGGAGGATGAGGCAGGAGGATTACTTGAGTCCAGGAATTATAGGTCAGCCTGGGCAACATAGTAAGTTCCTGTCTCTACAAAAAATAAAAAAATTTGGCTGGGTGCAGTGGCTCACGCCTGTAATCCCAGCACTTTGGGAGGCTGATGTGGGTGGATCACTTGAGGTCAGGAGTTCAAGACCAGACTGGCCAAAATGGTAATACACCATCTCTACTAAAAACACAAAAATTAGCCAGGCATGGTGGTACACTCCTGTAATCTCAGATAATTGCTTGAACCTGGGAAGTGCAGGTTGTGATGAACAGAGATGGTGTTACTGCACTCAAGCCTGGGCGACACAGCAAGATTCCATCTCAAAAAAATAATAAAAAAAAAAATGAATAAATAAGCTGGGTGTGACGTTGTGTACTTGTGGTCCCAGCTACTTGAGAGGCTGAGGCAGGAGGATCACTTGAACCAGGAGGTGAAGGCTGCAGTGAGCCAAGATCATGCCACTGCACTCCAGCCTGGGTGACAGAGTAAGACTCTGTCTCAAAAAAAAAAGTAAAGTAGGAAGAAAGGCACTTTTGGAGGCTGAGATGGGTGGATCACGAGGTCGAGATTAAGACCATCCCTGCCAATATGGTGAAACCCCGTCTCTACTAAAAATACAAAAATTAGCTGGCCATGGTGGAATGTGCCTGTAGTGCCAGCTACTCGTTAGGCTGAGGTGGAAGAATCGCTTGAACCTAGGAGGCGGAGGTTGCATGAGCTGAGATGCGCCATTGCACTTCAGCCTGGCAACAGAGCGAGACTCCATCTCAAAAAAAAGAAAGATCTTAGTACACATTTCTTAAAAGAACACATGTGAAGGTCAGCAAGTACATGAAAAAATGCTCAACATCACTATATACGGCACAATTGACACGTTGCATTTATTTTACCATCTATTACACGAAGCTCGAGTGTACATCTAATTTTTTTAACCCAAACAAATCCAGTCTATTTTATCCCCTAGGATTTGTCATATCGCAGAATATTTTAGTTTGTGAAAACAGATTTTAATAAACAAAGGTTACCAGGGAAGATAAACACTTAAAACTACTAAAACAGAAAGGTGGAGGGTTATTAGTGTAAGTTCTACCTGCCAGCAAGTAGGAAAAATATTATTAGGCTAAGCAGAAAGGATTACTGCAAGATATGCTGGTTTGATGAGAACATAAGCTAAATGAATACATACCTGCAAACGGTTTGCGCATCCTGATTTTGGATAGCCAGAAGGGTTCAGAAAAGTCAGTCATCTTAGATACATTTTTATTTTATTTTGTTTTTGGAGACGGAGTCTTGCTCTACTGCCCAGTCTGGAGTGCGCTGGCATGACTTTGTTCACTGCAACCTCCGCCTCCTGGATTCAAACAATTCTTCTGCCTCAGCCTCCTGAGTAGCTGGGACCACGGCACACACTGCCATGCCCGGCTGATATTTTGTATTTCAGTAGAGACAGAGCTTCACTTCGTTGCCCAGGCTGGTCTTGAACTCCTGAGCTCAGGCAATCCGCCTGTCTCGGCCTCCCAGTGTTAGAATTACAGGCGTGAGTCACTGTGCCCAGCCGGTAAATTTTTAAAGAATCTTAATAACTGTCCTTTCCTCAGCTGCTGCCAAGGTGCTTGGTCCTTCTGAGAAAGCTAAGGCCACATTATGGTGAGGCCCTCACGTCATCCAGCGATTCGCACTGTGCCCAACAGCACTAGTTCCACACGTGCCCCTGCCATGGCCTTCGTCTCTGAGCTCACCTACATCTATTTGGCCTTCATTTTGCATGATGATGAGGTGACCGTCATGGAGGATATGATTAATGCCCTCATTAAAGCAGCTGGTGTAAATGTTGACGCTTTCTGACCCGGCGTGTTTGCAAAGGCCCTGGCCAATGTCAACACTGGGAGCCCCATCTGCAATGTAAGGGCTGGTGGACCTGCACCAGCTGGAAGTCCTGCCCCCTCCATTGCAGCTGTTTCAGTTGAGAACAAAGTGGAAGCAAAGAAAGAAGAATCTGAGGAGTCTGATGAGGACATGGGCTGTGGTCTTTTTGACTAAACCTCTTTTATAGAATATTATGGGACTAACCTAAAACGGAATTAAAAAAAAGAATATTCTGGGATTATTCTAATGGTGCATACCTTAATTCCAGCTACTCTGGAGGCTGAGGCAGGAGAAATCACTTGAACCCGGGAGGCAGAGGTTGCAGTGAACCAAAATCATGCCATTGCACCACAACCTGGGAAACAAGAGCAAAACTCTGTCTCGAAAAGAGAAAAAACTATTGATAAAATGAACCAGGAGGCCGGGCGCGGTGGCTCAAGCCTGTAATCCCAGCACTTTGGGAGGCTGAGGCGGGTGGATCACGAGGTCAAGAGATCGAGACCATCCTAGTCAACATGGTGAAACCCCGTCTCTAATAAAAATACCAAAAAAATCAGCTGGGCATGGTGGCGCGTGCCTGTAATCCCAGCTACTCAGGAGGCTGAGGCAGGAGAATTGCCTGAACCCAGGTGGCGGAGGTTGCGGTGAGCCGAGATCGCGCCATTGCACTCCAGCCTGGGTAACAAGAGCAAAACTCCGTCTCAAAAAAAAAAGGCGTTGTGAAATAAAATGAACCAGGAAGGTGTGGGGTAAGGGACAATCCTGACGAAAATAAAGTAGCTTCAGGCATAAATGCCTTTCAAAAGTCCTAACTTTCTCTAGAAAAATTGGCAATATTGGCCAGGCACGGTGGCCCAAGCCTGTAATCCCAGCACTTTGGGAGGCCGAGGCGGGTGGATCACGAGGTCAAGAGATCAAGACCATCCTAGTCAACATGGTGAAACCCCGTCTCTACTAAAAATACAAAAAATTAGCCGGGCATGGTGGTGCGTGCCTGTAATCCCAGCTACTCAGGAGGCTGAGGCAGGAGAATTGCCTGAACCCAGGAGGCGGAGGTTGCGGTGAGCCAAGATCGCGCCATTGCACTCCAGCCTGGGTAACAAGAGCGAAACTCCGTCTCCAAAAAAAAAAAGAGAAAAATTGGCAATATTTACATTAGTATGTGGCATTTAAGTGTTCAGAATAATCATCTTTCTTATTGTACTATCTCTGAAATCACCTCCCATAAATTGTCTTAGTTAGGGTCAATATCCAGTTACCTTTCAAAAATATTTTTCTTTTCTTGGTTAAAGCAATTTAATGAAAGAACATTTAAGATTTAAAAATAGTCACTTGAAGCTCATTAAGGACTGCCAAAAATCTAATTTTATTTCTGCATTCTTCATAAATAAAAAGCAAACAATAACCACTTTCCTCTTAGATCCAACCTCAATGACCATATTCTCAGAACTACTGAAAGACTTCAAGTACATTAATTGTAAGGAATAGGTTATAATTGCTGAGTTTTACATTTTTGCTTAATATATTTGGTAAACTACAGTTAACTCTTGGAATGTCTAAACTACCTTTATTTTCTTCATTAATAAGAAGGGGTCATTTAAAACTTCATGCACATGTAACATTTTATTATTATTTTTGAGATGGAGTTTTGTCCCCAGGCTGGAATACAGTGGCACAATCTTGGCTCACTGCAACCTTCGCCTCCTGGGTTCAAGCGATTCTCGTGCCTCAGCCTCCTAAACAGCTGTGATTATAGGCATGTACCACCATGCCTGGTTAATTTTCTGTATTTTTAGTAGAGATGAGGTTTCGCCACGTTGGCCAGGCTGGTTTTGAACTCCTGACCTGAAGTGATCCACCTGTCTCAGCCTCCCAAAGTGCTGGGATTACAGGTATGAGCCACCGTGCCCAGCCTATGTAACCTTTTAAGGACTTAACTTCCTTAACATAAGGTAAAGTCTTAGGCAGGCTGCCACCGGGAATGCTTCTTTTCTCCTTTTTAAATTAGAGACAGGGTCTCACTATATTGCCCATGTTGGTCTGGAACTCCTGGGCTGAAGCAGTCTTCCTCTCTTGGCCTTTCAAAGTGTTTGGATTACAGGAATGTGCCATGGCGCCCAGTTTGAAAATTTTTTAGTGTATGTGGTAATACACAGGAGATCACATTTAGTATATGACCAAGTTAATAAAGAAGTCAAAAAACACATTAAATTTAAGAACAAATAGGCTGGGCGTAGTGGCTCACGCCTGTAATCCCAGCATTTTGGGTCTCGAACTGAGGCCAGGAGTTCGAGACCAGCCTGGTCAACATGACAAAAACAGTCTACTAAAAATACAAAAATTAGCTGGGCTTGGTGGCGCATGCCTGTGATCCCAGCTCTCAGGAGCCTGAGGCTCGTGATCGCTTGAACCTGGGAGATGGAAGCTGCAGTAAGCCTAGATTACCACTGTACTCTAGCCTAGGCAACAGATTGAGACTCTGACTTAAACAAAAAACAAAAAGAACAAATAGTTATCTGAAAAACTTCTGACATTTACTTACCTCTGGACAAACAAATGAGTAGGAAGAACCATCAGTATAAACATCTTAATTCTAACATTCTTTTTTTTTTTGAGAGGGAGTCTTGCTCTGTCACCCAGGCTGGATCTCAGCTAACTGCAATCTCTGCCTCCCAGGTTCAAGCGATTCTCCTGCCTCAGTCTCACGAGTAGCTGGGATTACAGGCATACACAAACACACC